TTTTCCCAAACCATGTTTATAAACGCCTGCCAGGATAAAAAACGAGAGTCCCAAGCAGCGCTACCTGCCGCCACGCTCGGAAACGCGTCAGGCCCCGAAGCCCCCGGAGGCGCCCAACGACACCCCAACAAATCATGTTCCCAGGAAGTCTTAGGGCCAGTGCCGCCGACGTTGAAGGAGGACGGTCCAGGACACCCAGAAGTCTTCCAAACAGGCTTCCAAGAGGGCGCCGAGACAGCCCAGGGCCGCCCCGAGACGGCCCAAGAAAGCCCCAACACAGACGAAAAGGGCCACAAGAGGCCCCCAAGAGGCCCCGAAACGAGGACATATCGTTCGAACACGCCCAAGATGGCCTCCGGACGGCCCGCGAGGCTTCCAACCGGGCCCAAAGAGACGCCAAAATCATTGCTTGTCCTTAGGTTTTTGATGGATTTCCGACACCCAATGTCGCCCCAACAGGCCCCCACGAGGGCGCCGAGACGGCCCAGGGACGCCCTGCCGCGGGCACGAGGCGGGGCCCTGGACGGGGCCCTCGCACCGGGGGGCCCGGGGGCCCTGCCGTGGCGCTGGGGGCCTTGTAAAGTCGCCCCAAGACGGCCCTGGCGTTTCCAGACAACGAAAACGACTAATGACCGCCCGAGATCACCCGAGAATTGGTCCCTGACTGTCCGAGATGCCTCCAAGACGCCCCAAGAGGTCTCCAAAATGGCCCAAGACAGCGCCAGAGGCGCCCAAGGCGGCCCGAGAGGGCCCCATGACGGCCCCAAGATGGAGCCGAGAGGGTTGACACGAACCGAAAATCCGAGTCTTCCACCCCGAGAGGCTCTCAGGAGGCCCCGAGAAGCCCCGAACAGGCTCCAAGAGGCCCCAAGAAGCCCCCCAGGGGGCCGAAGAGTATCCAAGAGGCCTCCCACGAAGGCCCCAAGAGGCACAAATCCATGTCATGCCATAGGTTTTTGATTGATGCTCGAGTTTTCAGCCTTTTGGCGTCCTGACGCTCCAAGACGGCCCAAAAGGCCTCCAAGACCAACCCAAGATAGCCCGGGAGGCATCCAACAGGGCCCAAGACAGCCCGAGAGGACTCGCACCGCTGCGGCCCCCAGGGGGGCCCAAGAGTGGCAAGGCGAACCGAACATCCGAGCCTTCCACCCGGAGAGGCTCTCAGGAAGCCCCGGAGGCCCCCAAATGGGACCCAAGAGGTCCTCAAGAAGCTCCCCAGAAGGCCGAAGAGGTTCCAAGAAGCACTGTTTTCCCGTCGGCTTTTGATGGATCTTAGAGTTCCCAGCCTTTTGGCATCCCGACCGACGCTCCAAGACGGCCCAAGTGGCCCCCACGGTCGCTCCAAGATAGCCGAAGAGGCCTCCAAGACGGCCCCAAGAAGGCCCACGAGGGCCCCAAGACGGTGCCCGAGGCGCCCAAGACGGCCCGAGAGGGCTCCAAGAGGGCCCCAAGAGAGCCCCAAGAAGGGGAACGCGAACCCAACAGCAGAGCTTTCCGCCCTAAGAGGCCCACAGGAGGCCCCAAGAGTCCCCAACTGGTCCGACGAGGCCCCCCAATGCCCCCCACCAGGTCCCAAAAGGCTCACAGGAGACGTACACGGGGCCCCCAGATAGCCGAACAGTGCTGTCGATGCATCAAAATTGCTTCAAGGAGGCCCCAGGAGGCTTCCAGATTGCCCCAATGTGGCCTCAAGCCGGGCCTCCACGCAGCCAAGACAGCCAAATGACTGCTTCAGTCTGCAAAACACTACTTTCCGACTGCCCAGAGAACCCTGACGATGCCCCCAAGGGACCCCAAGATGCCCCCCCGAGAAGCACCCAAGAAGTGCCTCCAACAGCCAATTGAGGAAGCGCGGAGAACCTCCCAGAAGCCCTTCAGATGCCCCACGAAGACCCAAGAGGTTCCCAAGAGGCCCTCAGGAGGCACGACTATGTCACGCGCCTGTGCTTGATAGCGCTGTCTAAGATCTTCTAGCGCGCCCCCAGCCTGGGCTAGAACCTGAGCGCGCGCGAAGCGCGCGCGATGGTTCTAGTATGTTTATCAATGTATGCATGTATACACGCATGAATTCATGTATGTATGCATGCATGCATGTATGATTGTATGCACGCACTTGTAAGTGTATGCATATATAGGTATGCATTTATGCATTCATGCATGCAGGTAATGTATGTCTGTATGCCTGTCTGTCTGTATGTCTGTATGCTTTTGTATGTCTGCTTGTCTGTATGTCCGTAGTTATGTATGTCTGTATGTCTGTATGTATGGATACATGTATGGATGTATGTAGACATCTGTGTATGTATGGATGCAGGCAGGCATGCACACATGTATGTGTGTGTGTGTGCATGCATGCATCTGCATGTATGTATGCATGTATGCAGGTAAGCGTACACGCATGCATGCATGCACGTGCGCACGTATGTATTCATGTATGCATGCATGCATGCATGCATGCATGTACGTACGTACGTATGCATGCATGTATGTATGTATGTAGGTATGTATGTGTGTGTATGTATGTATGCAGGTGTGTGTATGCATGTATGTATGCATGTATGGATGCATGTATGTATGTAATGTATGTATGTATGTATGCATGCATGCATGCATGTATGTATATATGTATGTATGTGTGTGTATGTATGTATGTATGCATGTGTGTATGTATGTATTGCTGTATGTATGTATGTATGTGGATGTGCATACATGTCTGTATGCATGTATGTATACATGCATGTCTGTCTGTATGCATGTATGTATGTATGTATGTATGTATGTATGTATGTATGTATGTATGAAGTTATGCATGTATGCATGCATGCATGTATGCATGCATATATGCATGCATGTATGCATGCATGTATGTATGTATGTATGCATGCATGCATGCATGTATGCATGTATGTATGTATGAATGTATGAATGTATGAATGTATGTATGTATGTATGTATATATGTATGTACGTATGTATGTATGTATGTATGTATGTATGTATGTATGTTTGTATGTATGTATGTGTGTATGCATATATGTATATATGCATGCATGCATGCATGCATGCATGCATGCATGTCTGTATGTATGTGTGTATGTGTATGTGTATGTGTATGTGTATGTGTATGTGTATGTGTATGTGTATGTATGTATGTACGTATGTATGTATGTATGTATGTATGTATGTTTGTATGTCTGTCTGTCTGTATGTATGTATGTATGTATGTATGTATGTATGTATGTATGTACGTAAGCATGCATGTATGCACGTATGTATGGGTGTCTGTCTGTCTGTCTGTCTGTCTGTCTGTCTGTCTGTCTGTCTGTCTGTCTGTCTGTCTGTCTGTATGTATGTATGTATGTATGTATGTATGTATGTCAGTATGTGTGATTTTATAGAGTCACAGTTTCGGTGGCCCGAGCGGATCACTTGGGTCGTGCACTGGACCCCCCCCCTGGCGCTGGAGCCCCTGGCGCGCGGAGCGCGCCAGGAGCGGAGGGTCCAGTGCCGATCCGGGAAATCCGCGCGGGCCTCCGAAAGCTTATTCCTACCTCTGGACCTGAGCAGTAGGTCGGGCCTGCCAAGGCAAGGGTACGCATGCGTTCTGTGCATCGCGCGTTGTGTCCTTCTGACTTCCGGGGCAAGGGTGCCCTTGTGTGCTTTCGGATTCGGGGGCTCCTTTCGCTTCGAGGTAGGATTTTGGTTTCAGCGCCGTGCCGCCGGCGTCGCGGCGAAGGGTATACTCTGCGATGTCCTCTGAGTGCGGCCGCGCCGCCGGTGAACCAACGCCGCGTTGACTCGAGGCCGCCCCTGCGCACCGTTGCCGTTTCGAGAGGCCATGCTGCCAGGGGGGGAGGGGGGGTGGCGCGGGCGGCGCGCCATGCTCGTACACCCTAGGCGATGCTTAGGAAAACGTACGGTTTCGGCCAGAGTCTCGATTATTCTTATTGTTTCGATGCAGATCCTAAAAATTATAAGTAGAAATTTGGTGTTTTTATTCAAATTCTGAGACTATGAATTTCTGAACCCATGATTTCTCAAGCATTTCGCAGGGTGTACTGTTGTTGATGGGGGGAGCGGCGCGGGCGTCGCGCCCTGCTACACTCTTTTACGCGGCGGGCGGCGCGGCCTGTCAGATCACCTCTGTGTCCTGCTCGGCGTGCGCCCCCCCCCTCGCGGGGCCGGCGGGCCGGCCGCGGGTGTGACTGCGGTCGTTGCCTCGGCAGGGTGCCCTCGTGCCCCGTGGTTTTTTGGGAGGCCACGTTTCTGTCGGAAGAGTCTCGTGTCCTCTGGCGTTAAAACGACGCGAAGATCGGGGCAAAATCGGATCGGGATAACTCGAAATCTCTGAGAATCGGCGGGATTGGAGGATGTATTGGGCGCCGCGGCCGCTCCAGAGCGTTCCGGAACGCTCTGAGAGCGCTCCGGAACGCTCTGGAGCGATTTATCCCGATCCTAGCCCTGTTTTAGGCGTGCCCTGTGCAATCAAGTCTGCCTGCAATATCCCTTGCTTCAGAGTCGTGCCCTGGGTCCTCGTGGAGTGGTGGGCATGGACATCTGCCCGCCCCTGCGGGCGGGAGGGCATCGGCATCGACCGCGCCTGGGGGACCCAGGGCCCAGAAGTTGCGGGTGTGGCTATCTCCTGAGGGGCGTTTTTTTATACCCTGTCGGTGACTGGCGATAGTGGGGTGGGGCGGGGCGGGGGGTGTGGGGGGGTGCCGTCACGTTTCGCGCCGGCGCCGTCTGGGAATGTGCAGGAGCAGCCAGAGACAACTCAGAGGTCAGCACGAATCGTTGGGTCACCTGAGAAGGGGGGTGCGGCCGGGGCTGGCGGAGCGAAATGCGCTCTCTTGGCGGACCTCGTCCTTCCTCCTCCGCCTCCTCCTCTTCCTCCTCCTCCTCCTCCTCCTCTTCCTCCTCCTCCTCATCCTCCTCATCCTCATCATCATCCTCCTCAGATTCCTCCTCCTCCTCCTCCTCCTCCTCCTCCTCCTCCTCCAGGAGACCTTCTGGGAGATCTTCGGCGCCCAGAACACCACCGCGGCAGAGGAGGCCCAGCTGCTGCACTCCGCGGAGGTCCTATGGGGCGACTGCGTTTCACACGGGCAGCGCGGCAGGTACCTGCAGCTGGTGGACCAGGGCTTCCAGGCAGCGTCGAGTTCTGGGGACCAGGAGGCCCTTGCGGCAGTGCTGCGGCTGGCTGCGGCCGCGATGTCCGAGCCGCGACGCGTGTGGGTGCGGGGGGACGAGGAGGACGTGGGGGAGGAGGTCGGGGAGCTGGAGGGGGCCAGCTGCGACGGGAGCGAGCGGCCGCGCACTACCACCTGCAGTGGAGTGCAGACGCGGCTCCGGTCGTTGGCAGTCAACAGCCTCAGGTCCTTGGCAGTCGACGGACGCACGCAGCCGGCGGTGACCCGCTTGCACACGCTGATCCAGAAGTTTGAATCCAAGCATGGTGTGGGAGTCTGGCATGCTGGCAGCGGCGACGAGTGGAAGCTATCTGCAGGCTTTCAGCATCCAGAGCTCCCGCTTCGTCGTCGTCTTCGCCGACGTCGTCTTTGTCGTCGTCCTCCTCCGTCTCTCCTCCTCATGGGAGCTCCTGTGACTTTCTTGGGGTCATGCTCGGGCCGTCTTGGGGGCTCTTCGTATCCTTTTTTGGGCTCTCGTGTAATTGTTGACGCTTCGCGTGCCCCCACCAGTGCAAGTGTGGCTCTGTACGCTCGTTGACCGACGTTCTCCTGCATGGACTTCGCCTTCGACGAGTGTTACTGGTTTTACTGCCGTTTGCAGTCTTGTCGGTGATGAGATTCTATAGGCTTACGCCACATCCGCCGACCCCTTGTTTCTTGTGTTGCCGTGTCTGTGGGGGGTCACGGGCCCCGGAAGTGGCACGCCACGTGTGGCCTCTTTTGGGCCTCTTGGGGGCTCTTTGGGACCGTTTGGGTGCTTCATGGGGTTCTCTTGGGTTTTTTGGCGGCATTGTGGGATCTTTTTGGAGCCTCAGTGGGAGGAAGGTTGGAATTCTAGGTTCGTGGTTTCTCTGTTGGACCCTTCTTGGGGCCGTCTTCGAGCTCTGTTGGGCCGTCTACGGCGCCTCTGGGGCCGTCCTGGAGTTCTTTTGGGCCGTTTGGCGAGTCTCTTGGGGCCTTCTTTGGCCATCTTCGGGCGGCCGTGGGGACCTCGGGGCGGAGGAGGAGGAGGAGGAGGAGGAGGAGGAGGAGGAGGAGGAACACCTGCTTGTCGAAGGTTCCGCAGCGGGCCGTGGCCTCGCTGAGCGCGACAACCTGGCGTAAGGTACCGCGGGCTGTGGCCCCGGGGAGAGTGGGAGGAGGTGCGTGGCCGTGCGAGGGAGCGTGGCTTCGGGGGCGCGCAGCTGTGGTATGCAACGTGTGCCAGGGCTCTCCTGCCGCCTCCTCCTCCTCCTCCTCTTCCGCCTCTTCCTCGCCCCCGTCCCCCGCCTCGCCCCTTTCTCCTCCTCTTCCTCTTCGTTCGTGTCCTCCTCCTCTTCCTCTCCCCTCCTCCTCCTCGCTCGTCTCCTCCCCGCCGTCCTCTTCCTCTTCCTCCCCTTCTTCCCTCCTTCGCCCCTGCCCCGCTCTCCCAGGAAGTTCGGGGCGCGTGATCTGGGGAAGGTCAGACGTCATAACAAACGTGGGACCTGAAACGACAACCTCTGTCCGGGGTGGCTGAAAGTGCCCTTGGCCCAAGGTGCTTCCCGTATTTTGCTCGACAGTTTCGGTGTCCGCTCCAATTTTTTTCCTCGGGCATCCTGGTCCACGCAGCCTGTTGGCCCACAAGGGGGCTGGCGGAATTGAGATCGTCGTGGGCGAGAGCTCGATTCGGCAAGGGATGTCCCATCCATGCGAATAGCTGCTGCACACTAGGGGGGCTCGGGTCACAGAGTTTGAGGAAGCATCAAACGAGACTCGATTGTGTAACCGGGCCAGCTTCCATCCCTTTAACCTTGGCGTGCTTTTAGGACGAATGTGCGCGGCGTCAATATGAATATTCCATTTTCAAAAAAAAACATCTTGTCTCCACCCGCGTGACAGTGAAGCCTTTTTAGCTTGAAGGATAGAAAGGAAATCTCAGGGCCCCCCTCCGATTTGGCCTTCGCACACTTCCTGTGGTGTGACATGGGGGAGCTGGTTCGAGGGACGAGGGATGGAATTGCAAGGCAGTACAGTGGGGGTTCGCATCGAGAAACCATAACCCCATACAGCCGAGAATAACCTTCTGGGATAGTAACGTTCGGCGGCTACGGTGCGATAGTACAAGTTGCCCGCCAGAGGCCAGCATAAATATGTTAACAAAGCAGCCAAAGCCGAGGATATCTTGAGACATCCTTGGCGTTTTGTCCTCTCTGATACATTCCAACAATGGCTTTTCGTCAGGGTGTCCTGAGTTTCCTCTCGCCATCGTGCTGCGCGGTGACCTCCCGCAGCCGTGGAAGGAGCCGCTGCGTTCAGGGTGCTCCAAGTTTTCCCCTCAGGAGCATCAGGGGGAGGAGGAGGAGGAGGAGGAGGAGGAGGAGGAGGAGGAGGAGGAGGAGGGATGGAGGAGGAGGAGGAGGAGGAGGAGGAAAAGGAGGAGGAGAAGGAAGAGGAGGAGGAGGACGAGGAGGAGGAGATATAGACGAGGTGAAGGATGTGCACCCCGCGCACGTGTTGACAGGGTTGGGCTTCCTGCGAGGGTCCTTCGCGGCCGCGGCCGCATTGCATATGCAGAGTACCAGCACGCGCGGGGTTTGCCCGCCCATCTCTGACAGGGGTGCTCTTCGCCGGGCCGCCGTTTCCGCACGGCTTGCGCGCCGCGGCGCGCGCGCGCGCGCGACGCGCGTCGCGGGGCTGCGGCCCCACTTCGCCCGCGCGGGCGGTCCACGGCGCCGTTCCGAGGCCCGACAACCATCACTTCACTAATTTTGGGCCCCAGGGCCCACTGAGGCCCCAGGGGCCCCATATTAGTGAAGTGATGTTTTTCCCCACGTAAGGGGCCCGAAATTCATCAGTGCACTAAACCGAACCGAGGACAAAAGTCAGAGGCCGAATTGCTGATGGGATGCCACATCGGCTTCGCAGCCGCGACTTACGCCGCGGGCCTGGGGCCCAGGGAGCCGATGGTCCGGCCGCCGCGCCGCGGGGTTTGGGGTCCCGGGGGCTCGGATTCCGGTTTTGGTCCGAGTCCGTTCGGTTGTGCCGATTCCGAGTTCGATTCCGATTTCGATTTGGGATGTCGATTTCGGATGTTGATGGCAATGCAGAGGGCCCTGCCTGGGATCCAAGAATCGTTTCCCTTAGGACCCGTTTGCTTTGTGCTAAGTTGCGGGGTGCGTCGCAGGCCACGGGCGTCGGCGCACCAGCGAAGAAGCAAAAAACGACACAGACATAACACTTTCGGAAATCCGCGCGGATTTTTTGGATCGGCGTTGGGCCCTCGGGCCGGACGAATGTGTAGGAGCGTGAAGAAGGGTTTACGACATCTGCTGCGTGCAGCTGGTTTCGGCCCTGCCGCCGGGCTCATTCCTCGATGCATGGGCGTTTCATGGTGCCCGGGACGCGCCCAGGAAACCAGCTACGTGAGCTGATGGTCCATTCTACTCTTTGCTATTCTACCCTGTCGTCCGCCCCGACGCCTTCTTTTTGGCGCGTGGAACGCCAGGGGCGGCGCCCGAGGCGCTACGAAAAAAAGGGTCCAGCGCCAATCCAAAAAATCTGCGCGGACGTGCGAAAGTTTATGTTTACGTAGTTTTTTTGTGTCTAGCACCATCGACGCTCGATGCTCCGGGGCTGGAGCCGGCTGGGAATCGATCTAGAGTGGAAAAATGAACCGGATGGATCCCGCGACAAGTTCGGGGACAGATGTCAACCCGATTGCCATGACCTACCTCTTTTTACAGATTTTCTGGGGTCCCATTCAGCTCAGGTTCCTTGGCCGCCTCTAATTGAAGGTGGAGGTTTTTCGACGCTGTCGGGCCTCATTGGCCTCCCCTGGTGTGTTTTTGTCGTCGCAGCTGGATCCGTCTCGATTTTTGATCCGGGAGGCGATTCTTGAGGGGGCGCGTCACTTCCGACGTATCGAACACATGAATATCAGGTTTTCTGCCACTTTCAGCGCCCCGAGCCAGTTTTAGGGTTCCTGGGGCCATTATAACACGATCCAGTATAAAGGAGCCGGGCCCGGGAGAGGGGGCGAGGGGTTGGGGCCCAGACATGGCGACGTTGTACTTTTGCCAAAACGCGTTCCCCAGAAGACCCGACGATTTCCCTGGGGCTGGCCTTTCGTCAGCAGTTGTTGGACGCTCCCGGGGCCCGGCGAGGGCCTTCGGAGGCCGGAAACCGCCAAAAACTTTCTTTTCGAGTTGTTCGAGACGTCGGAAGTCTGGGGAGGGGCAGCGTATTGAAAAAAAACACAACGTCGGACGTCTGGGCCTCCGCAGGGAGGCGTTGCCGCGCCCGGCCGCCCGCGGCCTCGCCAACCGCGGCCCTCCCGGGGAGTCATGGCGGGGCGCCGCGCCGGCGGTCTTCGTCCGGACGGCGAGGGCGCCTCGCCACCGCTGGCTGCGGAGGCCGGGGCCCGTCGTCGTCCCTCGTAGGTGCGTTGTCGATTTTTCATGCGTTTCGAAGCCCACAAATTCGGGGAGGGCTCCCGCCATTTTCAGCCTGTTTGGGTTTCGGTCGGGCCCTGGGAGCATCCAAAACCGGTCCGAGTTGAAAAACTGCCGTCGGGGAAGGTTTCCTGGTTGTCGTCGTCGTCGTCGTCATCGTCCGTCGTCCGTCGCTTGTCGTCATCGTTTTCCGTCGTCCGTCGCTCCCAGACGTACCGGGTACTTCTCGACATGGTTCGTTGAAGCTAATTCATGGGCCAGGACCGTGTTGAAACTCGTTAGTTGTCCTGTTTCGACGCACGGGATGCGGCGAGCCCGCTCCGTGGAGTCCTGTTGTTCTTCGCTCATGAAAGTTCATGCGCGTGTCATTTCGCAAGAGATGCGGCGAGACCGCTCCTTGTGCAAGGATCGCTGCGTCATTTGTCGCTGTCGTTGCACGGGAAGCGGCGAGCCCGCTCCGTGGAGGCCTGTTGTTCTTCGTGCGTAGAAGTTGAATGTGTGCAATTTATCACGTGATGCGGCGAGACCGCTCCGTGTGCGAGGACCATTGCCATGGCCTTGGAAGGGGGGCCTTGCCACCAAAACTACGTACTTCTATGCAAAGGCCACTCCAGGCTCAGTTCGAAAAGGGTACTCCAGGTACACTCACGGGCGAGGGGTGCGTGCAGACGCGTTACGTGTTGTTATTGTTGCACGGGATGCGGCGAGCCCGCTCCGTGCAGGCGTGCTATTTTTCGTTCGTGCTAGTGCATGTACTTGTGTTATTTCGCAAGGGATGCGGCGAGACCGCTCCTTGTGCATTCACCGCTGCG